CATTCGAGAATTTACATTGCGATCTGCATGAAACTTGTAGATCTTAAATATGACAGCCTAATGTGTGCATATACCAAAGCATAAGGTGGTCATTTAAAAAATGAATATTTTTCAAAGGGAATGGGGAAGCATGGGAAGCTTTACAAAAAACCTACCAAATTTGGTGTATCTAGCTCTTATAACTATCAAGCTATGCCTAAAAGAGCTTGTTTCAATATTTCTTGTACAAATTATATTCAAATTTGAGGTTATAAATGATAAGTTCGTGCTTTATATACTCTTTCTTTCAGTCAATTGTCAGCTATATACAGAGCTACACTCAGACTCAATAGTCGAACATAGTTGTCTGCACTCAACCCAACTTCTTCTGCTGCCTGTCACATACATAAGCACAAAACTAATATACCCTTCTTCCAATCAATTTCACTGGTAATAGAGACAGCTGCGTGTAGCGAACTCAACGATCGAACGGACTTTTCTGCACTCAACCCAACTTCTTCTGCTGCCTGTCACATACATATGCACAAAACAAATATACCCCACCTGTAATCAATTTCAATGGGCATACAGTGAGAGCAGCTACACTCGCACTCGAGAGTCGAGAGGCGAACTTAGTTTTCTGCATTCACAGCATCGTCTTTAGTTTTGCTTTACTTTTTAGCTTTCAAGTGGCGCCTGCTGCTGCTTCTTCTTCAACTTCAGATTCATCTCCATCTTCTTCATCGGCAACGCTTTAACATTTGTATTCGTGTTCAAGGCCAGCGCTGGCGCTTTCTTTTACAATAGCCGACCTTGACGGGGCTGCGGCTGCGACTGCGCAAGCGACCACGTTTCGGCGCGCGCTCCCATTGCCCTGCCCCCCGCGCCGTCGCTCAAGTTTGCACGGCTGTTATCAGAGAGCCAATAGCAGCAACAACAACAACAACAACAACAAATCAACCCACTTTGGGTATGTTGAACGCGCCTCAGCTCTGCTCACCTGTTCGTTCCCTCCGTCGATCCGTCCGTCCCGCTGCCCGTCGGCTGTCTTATTGATCAGCGGAGCCCAACAAATAGCTGCGTTTAGGCAGACGGACGCGTAATTTTTGGTTAAAGCACCGAAAACAGAAATGTCGCAAAGTATTTTTACGTTGTTGTTGTTGTTATTATTGTTGTTGGTTGTGCAATTGGTTAACTAGCCCGCCTCTGCACAACTGACGCACTCTTTAGGGTCAGCGTATGCCCTTACAGTGGCTAAAGTCAGTTTGACAAGCAGTTAGTTAAAGCTGCAATTGAATTCAAATATTTTAAGATTATAAAATGTTAAATATTAATAAAAAAAATTATATATTAATATTATTAACTTAATAATTATTGGACCTCGAAGCAGGTAAACAAAAAATTACTTAATAATTATATTTATTAATATTTAAAAAAAAAAATATACAAGATCAAATTAAATAATATATTAATATATAAATATTTTATTGATTTATAACATTTTTGTATATAGTATTTTTTTAAATATAATTTTAATAAATTAAATTAATTGTTTGTAGTACAGAATGGGAAATACAATAAAAATTGTCAGCTATATATTATTGTTTAAATTCCCAAAATAATTAAATTACTTTATAAACAATACGTATTTAACATGAAATGTATTAACATTGGCGAGCTTCACTTCTTGAGCCTAATTATAATTTATATCATTAACTTAGACTCGAAACAAATAACTTAATTTATCATATACATATTTTGATATTAATTCAAAATGATGTGTACATTATAGAGTATTCACAAGTCGACTCATGGCTGCATTTATGCATTTATGCTTCATTGCTGAAATTTGAACATAAACAAAATATGAACAAATGTAAAATGCAACTGTGCTGCGCTCTTTAAATTGAATCTCCCTCTCTCACTCTCTCTCTCCCTCTCTCTCTCTCTCTGTCTCACTCGCTCTCGCTCTCTTCCGTCCTCCGCTGCGCGCTCTTTAATGGACTCTTCGCTTGCCAATGGGCAACGAGGTTATAAAGTTTTGCAATATTTTATGAGTTTATTGTGCTATTGTCGCAGTCTTTTAATACACTTGGCAACATACTCAATTTAATTTTGAATTAAATTATAATTTTTATTAATCATGTTAAATGAATTACACATTTATTGTGCTCATGTTTTAAGGGGAAATTGTATTTTGTTATCATTTTCGTATTCATCGCATTTTCTTTGCCCGTTCTTTTCGTGTCTGCGGTTTATTTTGCAATTGATATCGCTGTAATTATTAAAGCGTAATTAAATATTGTTGCTAAATTAATTTTTAATAGCTTTAGCTCTTATCTTTAGCGTCTAACATTATTTTTGTTTTTTTATATTTTTTTTTAATGCCACAAAAATTTGTTAACTGAACTTTTTATGTTTTTCCGCCGCTGCTGCTGCGGTTCAAGGTTGAGTTTTACAAAGTTACCAATTATTTGAGCTATTGTAAATTCAAAGTTTTCCATTACGATAAATTGTGAGTTTGCCTAATGGGGTATATTAGATGTTATGTGGGCAAAGCAAGTGGAGTAACTTTTCTAGCTCATCAAGATAGTTAACTTATCGCCTGGGAGACACAAATGCGATAGTTTGTTGTACATGTTTGTCCAACCTGAAATCGCAATACCTTATCTTTTGCTGCCAGGAGGTCGCTTAAGTAAATGAGAAAGCCGACAACAAGATTATTATAAAATATAATTTTCATATTTAAACCAATTATCTAATGACATGCGTTTATTTACGACTAAATGGCGCAAGTACCAATAACCAGCTTAAAAATAAAGCCAAATTAGGATAGCTTCACCCTTCAAATCAATTAAAATTTTTGCAAATTATATTTCATTTTTTTATTTAACTGCTAATTTGCAATAACAAAAAAGTCGCACCTGCCATTAGTTAACGCTGCATATATACACATATATATAAATATATATAAACATGCATATTTATAGTATTTTTCACAACAACCTGGCAACCCGCTTTCAAAGCTTTTAATGCTCATTCAAACTGAATGCAAGCTCTCTGTAAAGCTCAGCTTGAATTGCTCTTAAGCTGGCCTAGCAACAAGCAGCTGATCACAGAAATTCAATTTAATATCAAATGTTGCTTTCAAAGCTGCAGCAACATTTCGAACCTGCTGCCCGAACGATGCGCGCTTAGCAACAATGTTGAGAGCGCGAGCAACAGCAACAACAAGCTCATGAGTCAGACTCTCTTTAAAGCTCAGCTTAAATAACTCTTAAATGTCTCTGGCCTGGCAACAAGCAGCTGCTAATAAAAGACCCCAATTAGCATGCAACTGTAAATACAAATGTTGCGTTAATCGCTGCAGCAACATGTCTCGGAAGCTGCTCAGGCAACAATGTTGCCAGCGGTGCCAACAACAACAACAACAGCAATAGCAACAAAGTGCAAACAATTTAATGAGCCTCAATTAGTTTAAATGAAATGAAGCTGCGGCATTTTGATAGACAACAACAACAATAACAAAAACAACATAAACTCCAGCGAAGCGAAGCGTTTATTTAATTGAGTCCCATTTAATGGCAAGTAGGAAGGAATGTTGAAAGATCTATTTGAAGTTTTAATTTAATGCAACATTTTACATGAGCTGCATGCTCGACTTTAGCATACCCTACCTAGCTAAACAAAATGCCAATAACTTAAACAGAACACGATTCTTCTGGCTTAATAGAAATGTAATTACATTCACCTATCTGCCATAGAATAGAAGCCTGGGTCATAATAACACACCTAACAATCGTTTTATAAACCAAATGAATTATTCATGAACAATATTTAGCGATATCTCTATTAATTGCCATAAATTGCTGCATTAAGAATATGTTTAAAGAACATTTAGCCACAATTGAATGGCAATTAAATAAAGTACTGTTGGAAACAAGTTATAAGCGCTCTAGAGCAATGTTCACGGCCAGAAGATACCCTGTAGCCGTTTTTAGAAATATATAAACAAAATGTGAAACAAATAAAACCTTACATTATCCCATTTGAGATGGACATCACGATTCCTCAACAACGTGCCTAGTTCATAGAAAGCACAATGTTTTTCTCTCAAGATATTAAAAAATAACGTCGTAATTTAAATACCCTATGGCTGACAGCTTTGCAGTTATGTGAGCAAAATTGTAAATCTCAAAATTGCTGCCTGCTTAAAAAACAGAAAATTTTCCATACAGAAACACAATTTACGACAGATTCTTGCTACAACCCTATATAATATTGTAGGGCGATGACAAGCAACTTTTGCTCATTTATAAAGTGGCTAGACTGCCAAGTTTGTCTAAAATATCTAGAAGAACAAAAGAGTTATTCAGGGAACTTAATTTTTGACCGATATTTCCAATATAGAGTTCCAATAAAAGGGAATATAACAAACCAATAAATGACGAGCATGGTTTAGATATCTTAACGCAGAAAAAAACACTTCTTCCTATAAAGCTATATGTTATAGATAACCAGTGCTAATCAGATTTGGATAATAACTCTTGAATACCAAAATATCTAAGATAGATCTTTTCTATCTTTCCTATCCCAGATATTTGATATAGTAGTCCGATGTTAATAGGACTTAGTTTATTAAAAGGGAGCGTAATAATTGCAGATATCTGGAACCATAAAAAGGTTCTTTAAAGTTCCTATGACATACTATATGATATACTAACACGATCGGTCTAAGTTCGACACAATTTCTGTACTGCATCATTCTTTCTCGTTTCATCAATTTTTACTGGGATTGATCTTGCCCAATTTTGATAATTCTCTTAAAGCTGCCCACCTCGATAGATTAGAGAAGCATTCAAATGACACCCTGTATAAAAGCTCTGGTCGTCCAAAACTCAAGACCCCAAAATATAAAAACTACGACCTGTTGTTTTTGGAAGTATATTTCCAACAAAAAGATTATAAAGCTGTCACAAAGTTGTCTAGAATCTGTCCGGCTGCGTTTGTGTCGCATCAAAATGTTTGATTTGCTGCTGCTGCTTCAGCTGCTGTTGGCCCTGGCGAGTGCTCGACCTGGACGCGGTCCGGTGAACCTGTCAACGCAGCTGCTGCAGCGACATGGCGCCAAGCGGGTGAATTTTAGTTTTGAGAATCGCGTAGAAGGCTTGTTCTACACCGAACTGGACAGCAGCTTGCGCGATCTGCTGCTGCAGATACGCAACTGTACACAGCAATCGGTGCTCAGCCAGTTTGATTGGATACGGGCGTGCAATTTGGAGGCGGGTCGCATGCAGCAGCCAGTGTTGGCAAGTGCAAGATTTCCGTGTGATCTGCAGATCGGCGCCCGTTCCGCCGTGCCGCCCACGCACATTGCCAAGCTGCGCCCCGGCGACATAGACATTGTGGCCACGTGTGGCGATTCCGCCAACTCAGGCACCGGCATTCTGGGCCTGGGCGAACTGGACGCCTACGTGGAGTATCGAGGATTCGCCTATACTGGCGGTGGCTTTGAGACCTGGCGCACAGCTCTGACGCTGCCGAACATTCTCAAGCTGTACAATCCGCAACTGCACGGCTTTGCGGTGGGCCATAGTCTGGGGGCCGATGTGAATGTGTCGCGCTTCAATCTGGCGGAGCCCTTGCTGAGCATACAGGACCTGCCGTTTCAGGCGCATGTGCTGATCGAGCGCATGCGCAGGGATCCGCTGGTGAATCTGCGCGAGCACTGGAAGTTGCTCAGCATTCAGGTGGGCGCCAACGATCTGTGCTCCGAGCTCTGCAGCTGGCCCGATCCGGAGGCCTTTCTGCGCATGCTGGCACACCAGCTGCGCGACACCTTTCGCATACTCAAGCGGCACGTGCCGCGATTGCTGATCAATTTCATCGTCCTGCCGGACATTGATGAGCTGCTCAGCCTCCTGGCCAAGGTGCCAGCCAAGTGTGCCGAGCGTGTGCCCTATTTTTGCAGCTGCCACAACAAATACGAGCAGCAGGTCTTCTACAAAGCAGCCAAGCGTTTGCTCGACCTGCAGCTGTCCATTGCCGCGCTGCCCGAGTTCCGCAGCGACGACTTTGCCATTGTCTCGCACGGCATACTCCGGAATATGAGCAGCTTCTGGTCACAGAACGGCGACATGGACGTGCGTTTCTTTGCCAGAGATTGCGTTCACTATAGCCAGCTGGGTCATGCGGTGCTGGCGAAAGTTCTGTGGAACAATATGCTGGAGCCAACGGAGCATTACCTGGACGAGACCTGGCGACAGCCATTCAAGCATTTTCTGTGTCCCAATGCAAAGAGACCCTATTTGAGAACTGTGGGCGACAAGTTCTAGCTCTTGTAAATGAAGGCCCCATTAAAATATTGCTTGTTTCAAGCCTTAAGCCGAAACCTTGCTACGCTTCGAACCAGCTTGCTGGTTCTAACTTAAAATTTTGATTTTAAACCAAAATATTTATTGAAATGTATAAATTCGCTTCAAGTTTAATTTCAACCTTTCTTTATGCAACTTAAATGGGTTCAAGTTTAGGTTCGCGATAAAAATATATTTATTTATATATTCCAATATAAATATAATATTATTGGAATTCCGGATTTAAACGAGTTCGTTTAATATAAACCTTTAAAAATACGGCAAAATATGTTTGAATAATTTATTTAAGATAAATTTTATTAGTTTCTTGTTGAAATTATCCGGTCTTGTCTGGTTCAATATGATAAAATATTGAAAATGCATGGAATTTGCATTTATTTTATTAAAAATATATTTTATTATTTGTTATGAAAGTCTTACAAAGTTCGACACAATTATAAGCCAGACCTTAAATTGTTTTTCAAATCTGTCATCTAGAAGACATTATTTTCTGTTGTAAGCAGTATATTATTATTTAAAATCGTGTTCAAGCCCTGTGTCTCCAGGGCCAAAAAGTCACAAAACAAAAGTTCGGCAAATGACTCAACGAGTTTTGGGCAATAATTATACCCTGAACCCATTAAAAATGGGTATAAGGGTATATTGTATTTGTGCAAAATCCAAATGTATGTAACAGGCAGAAGGAAGCATCTCCAACCCCATAAAGTATATATATTCTTGATCAGCATCAATAGCCGAGTCGATCTAGCCATGACCGTCTGTCCGTCCGTATGTATGACCGCAAGGATCTCAGAACCTATAAGAGCTAGAGACTTGAATTTTGATTTTAGATGTAGATGCTCCTAGTTCCCGCGAAGATCGAGTTTGTTTCCGATAATCGATAACTTACTCCGTTTCCAAGCAATTGATAAAAATCGATATCGATATCCTGAATTTGGGCAATTTTGTTAAATAATAAGAGCTAGAGTCACCAAACATGACATATAGTTTCTAAAGTAGAATATATATATGCATTTGATGTTGGAAGAAGAGGGTACAGGGTATCCCCTAGTCGGGAGCTCCCGACTAGAACCTCTTACTTGTTTTTAATTGATATTATCTAAGCAAGCAGAAAAACTCAAACGACTTGCAAATCCACTTAAAAACAATGGAAAAAACATAAAATATAACAAATAAATAAATCAAAAATATAATAATAAATAAAATACTGAAAAGGGTGAAAAAAAGAAGGTTAACAAATACAGAAAACGAGGAAAAATATAATAATAATAATAATAATAATATAAAAATAAAAGTATTAATAACTCTTTTTTTGGAATTACAATTATTTAATTTTTTTAATGTTTTTACTAAAAAGTATATTTTTAAAAATTGAAAAACTATTTCCAAAAATATGAAAAGTAAATATTTCAAACTTTTTTTATATATATATATGTATATATTCATTATGAAATGCTGCAAGTCTGGCTTTTGTGCGAATCCCTTTAAGACTACATTTTCAATATTTTATTTATAATGAATCGAACTTAAAATAGAATTTGTTGACTCAAGCATTCAGTTAAAACTGAAGGGAACCATGATTTTTTTCAAGAGCATGGTTCAAAATAATATTTTGTTTGAATGATTGAAGATATAATTAAATAATTTATTTCTTTTCATAAAAAGAAAACAGTAAATATAAAAATTAATTAAATTGTTCAACTGAAAAGTGTAAAAAAAAAAGAACAGCAGAAGTCGAACCAGCTCACGAATCAAAGCTTGACGCGAAGCGTTGATTGAAAATGTGAATTGAACCAGCGACTTTTTGTTTGTTAGTGATGCAGCCCTAACGCTTGCACTTTTTAATAGACTTTCTAAGAGGTCAAACCTAATTGGACTATAAAAACATGGTTTAATGGCGTGGAGCGCTCAAAGTCGTTCAGCATCTGCGGCAGATTAGCTAATCATGCGTAAAATTTGGCTGCTCCTCACGCTGCAGCTCTTATCCTTGCGCACTATAAAGCCGGAGGAACGCATCCTGAATCGTTCCGCTCAAGAGATATCGCGTGTGGGCATCAAGCGTGTGGCATTCGATGCCAATTCCATTGGCAATGGCCGCATGTACTATACAAATCTGGACAGATTGCGAAACGTGATGTTGGCAGTGCGCAACGCATCCCTGAACGCGGCGCTGCGGCGCATGGACCAGCTGCTGGCCAGCAACAGGGCGGAGGGCAAGCTGCAGAAGGCGGTGCCCGCGGAGCAGCCATTTCCGTGCAACCTGAGCCAGGCACGATCCGCGGAGCCGCCCGACCACATCTGGGAGCTGCGACCCGGCGACATAGACATAACGGCCGCCTTTGGGGATTCGGTAATCGCGGGCAATGGGCTGCTCTCGCAAAGCTACCTGGACATTGTGCCCGAGTTTCGGGGCTACAGCTTTTTGGGCGGCGGGCTGGGCAACTGGCGCACAGCGCTCACCCTGCCCAATCTGCTGAAGCTGTACAATCCGCAGCTGTACGGCTATGCACGCACGCATGGCCTGGTGGCGGACAGACAGAAGTCCGTGTTCAACATAGCCGAGCCCATGCTGACCATGCGCGACTTGCCGTACCAGGCGCATGTGCTCATCGAGCGGCTGCAGAGCGATCCGCGCGTCCATATGCAGCAGCACTGGAAGCTGCTCAACATCCAGGTGGGCATGAACGACATGTGCTTCGAGCTGTGCTCCTGGAACGACACCGAGCAGTATCTGCGCCTGCAGCGACAGCAGGCGTATCGTGCCTTCAGCATGCTGCGGGATCATGTGCCTCGTCTAATGATCAACTGGATTCTGTTGCCTGACTTGGACGATTTGCTGCGTACGCTGCGTGGCTTTCCCGGGCAATGTAATTTGCGTGTGATCTGCTCCTGCCTGACGGTCAATTATCGTGCCCACTATCCGGACGCAGTGCGTCGCTTGCAGCGCATGCAATGGGAGCTGGCGGCGCTGCCCGAATTTCGGCGCAGCGACTTTGTGATTGTGCCGCACCGGCTGTTGGCCAATCTGAGCGGCATTGTGTATACGCAGGGTGGACTGAGCACGCGTTACTTTTCACACGATTGCATGCACTTCAGCCAGCGCATGCATGCGATTATGGCCGGCGCCCTGTGGAACAGCATGTTGCAGCCGCTGAATGCCACGGCGGCAAGGGCTTGGCGACGACCCCTGCAGAACATGCTGTGCCCCAGCGCCGAGCGACCGTTTCTGCGCATCAGCTAGGCGGAAGTCTAGAGAGTAGGCCTTAAAGTCAAGCAAAGCAAATAAATAAAATAGGCAGCACGCCCCGTTCCAGCCTCTCCGGGCAACCTTGGCGGCGTCAGCTTTATCCATGACACTCCCTCATGAATCTTTATTTTTAGAGCTCGATTCACTTGAGTTTTATTGTAATCAATTTTTTTTGTTTCTATAATATGTATCTTGCTGTGGGCATTAACCGATATCAAGTACGATTTAAATACAGCTAAGGCTAGACTTTTTGCACCACTTAGGCCCCAAGATTTCAGTTCCTTTGACAAATATATCTAAACAAACAATTAGCTATTAACATTTCAAGTGGCCGAAAACAACTGAAACTACAAACAGCAACAAGTTGGCAGTGCCCGACTTGTAGATACCCTAAGCCCAGCGCACAGCTGCGCCTCCTTATGAGAAATGCCTTCTTAAATTATTCGAGTGAGTGTAAAGCAAGATCTGTCGACACATACAAATTGTGATGCATCTAGCTTCTATGGTCTTCCAGTTCTATTGAAAGAAAAAAAGAAAATCTTTAAATTTTCTCAAAACTAATATACCCTCTTAACACATTCGCCTTGTGTACAGGGTATAGCAAAAACAACTGAAAAATGTTAGTTGAGCTTAATGTGCAAATATTTGTTGTAGATCTTTTTGTAGCTGAGCTTTGACTTCAAATCGTGCATAACAATTGGGATCTAAGCTAAGAAAAAAGCCGACACAGAGGCGCAGAGACGCGAGGGAGTTTTCACAAGTTGCCCCACACTTCAGATATCTACATTTCTAAACACAAATCATGCCGCGAGCAAAGCCGGGTAATATCTGCTAGCTATAAACATTTGTATTCATATATTTATAGATATTTTTCATGGCCGAATACTTTGTAATATTTGTTTGACTTATGACGCCCCGCCGACGGCAATAAAAAGCAGAAAATTGCCTCACTTAGTAATATTTAATTATTACTTTGCTATTTGAACGCTTGTCCATCTGGCCATAAATTGCCAATTAGTCCTGGCGCATTCAAATGTGCACTTTGCCGCAAATCTGATGAGAAACAAACATACATATGAAATGATGCGTTCAAATTGCCGGAAAACGTTTACTCAAAACAAAGTAGTTACCTTGAAACCCAACAAAAATGCTCGATTTACGGTTTGAAGCAATGACTCGCCTTATGATTCGGTTCAGATGTCATCAAGAATGAGTCCTGGTTCGAGTTCAAACCTCGATTTCTAGAAGTTTGTTACTTTCTCAAAAGAAATCTTCAATGTAGCTTTAATGAAATTTAATATTATTATAGCACATATTTGTTATTATTAATTAATTATTACTTATTAAAAAGGGAGCTTTCATTAGCATCATTATTATTATTTTTGTATCAGTATTATAATTTTTAATGTTATTTATAGCATTATTATTAATTTTACTTTATTGTTGATTTTTTTAATATTATTGTCTGTGTTTTTTTTTTTATTATTATTTTTTCATTATTATGATATTTATTAGTATCATGTTATTATAACTCTGATAAATATGCGAGGCCTTAATAATGAAATATTCATTTGAACCAAACCGTCGTCTTTTAAAATTATGGTTCAATTCAGTCAGTTCTTATATACGGCTTGCAGATAAATATTTGTATTTGTATGTTGTCAATTAGTTTTCATAGTATTTGCAGGCAGTTGAAGTTAATAAACTTTATCCAAGTGTATAGCTGAGACCCCTTTTATTGTCCAGCTCTGGGCTGGAGGCCTACGCCCTTGTCTAGGCCGCCGCTCTGTAGCTCCAAATTATTTATAAGCACGCATTTATTTTGGTTTTAAATTATATATAAAAATCATATAATTGTTGTCTGTCATGTTGTGTGGTAGCATCAATGTTGTTTATCGGTCGCCTCAAGGTAATTATTTTGTTTTCGGGTTTGCTGTTAAGATACATATTTTTTTTTTTGCCGACAATATCTTTGAACCCAACGCACTTGTGTGCTGAGCCCCAGCTTTGGGGCACAGTTGCGTCTGTTCCATTTGCCCGTTTGTTGTTGTTGTCACTTTTATGGTAGCTAATGTCTCGGTCAACGCATTCAAGTCAAGTTCTGTAGCCCACTGCCGGCTCTCTTGTTGTTGTTGTTGTTGTCTGTTGGCTGTTGCTTTTAATGGAAGGAACGAGTGCTTGAGTACTCGTTACGAGCTCAAACAATGCGAATTTATATTGTTTGAGTTTCCATTCATAGCAACATTTAAGCGGCCGCCACATTTGCTATTCAAGTGAGAACGCGTCAAGAAGTCGTTGTGCACGGCTGCTTATCACAGGACTAGAAAGGACATTCAATATATTACTCAGTAGTGAAAAGTGACGAATCAATAAGCCAAAAAAATATACGTTCCACATACAATCCACTCTTGCCTCATCAAAATCCAATTCACTTGGATGCGAAAAGTTTTCGAAATCGAGTCGCTGAAACAAAAATTATATGATCCACATGTAATTCACACGCGCTATAAATGTATCTGATATAAGAAACTAAAAAAAAAATCATATAAACCAAAATCACATTTCACATAAAATCCACAAGTGTTATATTTAAACAAGTTACGTTCCACATAGAATCCTCATTGGAAAAATTGACGAAAACTAAGTTTCACGCGGGCTGAAATGTATGATAGTGTCAAATAGATAACAACATACAAATACTTACATTCCACATAGCATCCACATGCAAAAATTGGAGGAAAACGAACTGCTGAACCAAAAAACATACTTGCCATAAGAATAACAGATATATTACTGGATAAAAAACAGGCCTATATTACATTCCACACAGCATCCACATGCGTTCCACATTGCCAAACATGTGCTTGATTGTGATTTTTGTGTTACTTTTCATCGATTCCACCGTTCCTCACATTCCGCGCATACGCCGCCAGAATCGCTCCCATCAGCTGTTGGACAGCATTGGAATTCAGGCCAAGCACTTCAATCCCTTGCGTCCGGTTAGCAATGCTCTGCCGGAGTATACGGACATAGATCGGAATTATCGCCAGCTGCTGCTCGGCACACGCAGCACAGCGTTGAACTGGGCGCTGCGGGATATCGAGGCGCTTTACCGGCGCAGTCGGCACGAGGGCAAATGGCAAACTCTGATACCCAATCACGTGCCGTTTCCCTGTCCGCTGAATAATACACGTTCCCGCACGCCGCCCACGTCCGTGGAGCGCTTGCGACCCGGCGATATAGACATCGTAGCTGCGCTGGGCGATTCCCTGTCCGCTGGCAATGGCATTATGTCCTACACGGCGCTCGACCTGATCAACGAGTTCCGCGGGCTGGGCTTCTCGGGCGGCGGTCTGGGCAATTGGCGCACCACGCTGACGCTGCCAAACATACTGAAGGTGTTCAATCCGCAGCTGTATGGCTATGCGACGGGCCACGGCCTGGTTGTGAATCATCGCACCTCACGTCTGAGCATTGCCGAGCCGATGATCATGTCGCACGATCTGCTATATCAGGCGCGCGTGCTGATCGATCTGCTGCAGCGCGATCCCCAGGTGGACATGCTGCGACACTGGAAGCTGCTCACCGTGTTCGTGGGCAGCAATGACATCTGCTCCGACATGTGCCACTGGACGGATCAGCGGGCGCTGCTCGAGAGGCATGCGCGCGATCTGCGCTTGGCGTTTCGACTGCTCCGCGACAATGTGCCCAGGCTGCTCATCAATTTGATAGCGGTGCCCAACATCTTGCTCACGATGAGCCAGCTGAAGGGCGTGCCGCTGCAGTGCTATCTGGTGCATCGCATTGGCTGCCATTGCCTGATGAGCGATCGGCTGACACACGCCCAGCTGCAGCAGCGCCAGGACACAATTTTGCGCTGGCAGCAGCTGGATTTGGAGGTAGCACGTCTGCCCGAATTCCAGCGCAAGGATTTCGCCATTATTGGCCATCCCATGATCACAAATATGACCGCGCCCAGGCTGCCCAATGGCAACACGGACTGGCGCGTCTTCTCCCACGACTGCTTTCACTTTAGCCAGCGCATGCATGCGATTGCCTCCAACATGCTATGGAACAGCATGCTTCTGCCAGATGAGCACAAGCCGCGGCCCAATCAGCTGCCGGAGCTCTTTGAGCGGTTCCTGTGCCCCAGCAAAGAGCAGCCCTACCTTGTGGTGCGGCCCAGCTGAGAGAGCTGGCCACAAGCTAAACCTAATTAAGTACCTTTGACCCTGCGGGAGTACAGCTGTCTTGTGATTTTTTTAAATTTTAATAATAAATTGCAAATGCAAATGCAAGTCTTACGGAAATTCAATATTTCATTCGTTACAGAACCTGATTTATTTTCCTAAAGCCAGTTTTAGGCTTTTCGGCTTTAAAATAGGTGATTGTTAAATAATTACACTACAATGTTGACTAAAATATAAAAGAATAAAATTAATTTAATAATTATTCGTTGTTTTTTTGTTTTTCTGCGAGTTAAGCTGCAGAGCTTAAATATCTGTTAAGGAAATATACAAAATGATGTTTGTAGCTTAGCAGCAACTGTCAAATTTAACATGCGTGTCAAAAGTGGCAACATTCAGTCGTATGGCTCTCATTGTTGCTCTGACTTGCGGCTTATTTACGCGACCTGTTTTTAATTTTTGAAATAAAACATAACACAATGAACTATTTAATAAATCGATAAATGGGTTCAGCATGTGCCCGACTTTAAAATAACACGCACGCACGTCGTAAGCTGAGCACTTTATCCTGCTGTTGCTGCGCTTCATGTTGCTCTTGGGGTTGACCAAATCCTATGAAATAAACGTTCTCTTTTAACTCTGCTGTTTACTGCCCAATCTTCGCGAAACTTTGAGCTGTTATGCGTATTATATGTGTAATTAGGTATATCTAATATCAACTCTTGAACTCTAGTAGTTTTCGAGAACGAGTTGGACTACTGGATTAATAGATGCTTATCTATGGCATGTGCCCAACTAAATTATACAGTATTTGTTTAAATTTACATATTTATTCGTATTTAATTTATAGTTTTATTCATTATATCATATACGATATATAAGGTATTTTATTGACACACTATTTAATTATTTCTTATATATGATTATATATGCAGCAGCAATAATTAAGTGAAGCTAGCAAAAGTCTAGGGCATGGCAGGGCGTATATCTTAAGCCTGGGCCTGCCAACATTCCATTGTTGCCGTGCTTATTCACACATTTGGCTCTATGCTGCTTATCTTCTTCTTCTTTTGCCTACTCCATTTCAATTAAAATATTATGCAATTTAATATGTATATGCGTGTGTGTGTGTGTTTGTATATATTTTTAATTAATTAAAAAACACTAAAAAACAATACTCAACGTCGCAGCATAAAAATTCATTAAAAATACTTTATGCTTATATGGCAGAAAGTATTTTTTCCTGTTTGTTGCGGAACAAACCTCGAACCATCCGTTTTCCGACCGTACGCGTGACAACGCGCCGCCTGCTTATTACGCCTGGACTCGCCCCTCCCCAGCCTCCCAGCTCCCCCCTGTGCCGAACACCGCTTAACCCCAACGCCCAGCCTGCCATGAAACAAAAAAAATATATGTATATATATTTAAACAAAGCGAGCATTTTGCATATGCAGCGCAGCCACCTGCAAACCGGACAGTTGCCAATGGGCGGCGACCAACCCCCAGGACTACACATATATGAGAAGAAAAAAATACATACACGCCCACTGCAAACAAGGGGGCGAGGTGGGCGGTATGTGGGTAAAAAAGCAACCAAAATAAAAAATCTGAAAAAATTGTGGCCGCAGCTAGAGCAGCAGCAGCAGAGAGCTGAGAGCTCGGAAGGGGGCTGGAAAAATTATATTAAAAATGCACTGTCCGAATAAAGGGCGTTACACACACACAACACACACGCACACACACACTCGCTGACAAGCTTTTAAACCCTCGCCCTCCAAAAAAAAATATATATATAAAAAAAATTAAACCGAAATAAATGTAAAAAAAAAAATGTAATAATAAAGTTGAAGCGCTTGGCCAGGGTCTGGGCGGACCATGTCGCTGATATATACTCTCTTACACTTCTACACACACATACACACACACACACATATATATATCTATATATATTACATATTTGAACACAACAGCCAAAGTGTCCCATTGCAAAATATGCAATTTCTGGGACCAAAATAAATAAACCAAATAAACGAAATGGAATTAACCAAACAGCCAAAAAGCATTCTCATCAGCCAAACGAGATGCGAAAATAAAAAATAAATAATAGAAAAAGAAAGGAAATATGTCCCAAATGATAAATAAAATTAAAAATCTTGATTAACCCAAACGAGCATTAGGCCAGCCAAAAGTGGCCACCAAGGCCTCACACACACACACACACAGCCCAGTTGGACAAAAAGTCCAAAAACATACACACACACATATATATCTATATATATATAGTGTATATGCCAGCAGAAGGAGACGCAAACAGTGCATAAATATAATATGATTGCAAACAAAAACATTTGAGCCATTTGAGCTTGTCATTTGTACCAAGTTTTCAACTTTTTTTTATTATTTTGCCCGCTCGCGGCATTTGGCAGCAGCCACCCACGGATTCTGTTTTGGATAGAAAATTGGATGTTCGTTGCGGGAGTACGAGAGTGTATCGACAATGCCCAGACTCCCTGTCAGCTGCCTGTTTCGGATAGCTTAAAAATGTTGGTTTTTTTATTATTTATTTTTTTTTTTGTTAGGGGTTAGCCAACTGCGAGCTAATCAATAAAAAATATCTGCATATGCGAATGGGTTTTTCTATTCAATTTATGCGCTCAGATTAAAGATTGGACACTGAGTACACTTGTTTTGAGAAACTTGAAATGGTTTCAAGAATTAAGAGCTCCAATTGAAGTATTGCTCATAGTTTATTAAAATGTATATGTATTAGAACCAGCAACTGCTCGCTTGATAGTCCAGACTCCAATCGGCGCAAAAATGTAGGTTATTATTGTTATATGTAGGTTAACCAATTGAAAGTTACTTGGAAAGAAATAAGTGTATTTATTTTAATTTTATATCCGTATTAGAACCAGCAACTTCTCGCTTGTTAGTCCAGACTCTAGTCAGCTGGCTGATTCGGATAGCGTAAAGATGTTAGTTGCAAGCAATATATCTGTTATTAAGATTATATATCTGTATCAGAACCGGCAACTTGTCGCTTGTTGGTGCAACGCTTATGACAATTTTGTGGCAAATTCAAAGGCATCTCATCAATTCAAGTTGATGACAGGGCACCAACTCCCAACAGCAACTGCCGCGAGTCAACGAACCGACACTTAGCCAGACAAATCCATCAAGACAGCGCATCAACTGAGACAGAAGGGCGGAAAACAAGTGTGGGCGGCCAATACGCAATGGGCATGAAAATGTCTGCAGTTAGCCGGCAGCGAGAAAAACGTGAAAAGTATTCAGCTAGAAAGATGAGAAGATCGGGGTCAGCAACAACAACAACAGCAATGGGGCAGAGGCCACTAGAAAAAGTGAACGCTTGACATTAAACAGGGACAACATTTTCGCTTTGCATGCAAAATGCCGGCACAAAGGCGCACAGGATGGCGCGAAATCGCATAAAGCAACTGACAGCCCCATCGCCTGGCCATCATCTGATCCGGCTCCGCCTGCTGCTCCACCACCGCTAACGAACCGCCAAATCATCAGCCAGACAGCAGCAGCAAAAGCAACGGCGGCGACGGCGACAATGGCGGAAATAGAGCAAAGTTTCACCAAACGACCATCCGCACAATACAAAAAAAAATATTAAGAGCAAAACAAGTAAGAGTGCTCCAGTTGGGCATGCTCGACTGGGAGTTATCCTGCAGCCAACTATAAAAGTTCGCTTTATACTCCATCTAAGTTTTTCTTCCATTTATGCCACACTATGAAAAATGCAACCTTAAATAACTCGAGTTTTTCTTGTGCGATTTCTATAAAACTTTCGGAACTTCAATTTGGCAGCCTTAAGTGTGTATATCCGAAAGCACAAGACTATAACTCGAGTTGTTCTCCAATATGTGATATATGAATTCCTTAACTCTACACACAAAAAAACTATTCTTCTGCCTGTTGCATATATTTGCACATTATACTCCAGCTGTGATGTTTCTTCCATTTATGCCACACCCTAAAAAAAAATGCAACCTGGAATAACTCGAGTTTTTCTTGTGCGATTTCTATGAAACTTTCGGGGCTTCAATTTGGCATCCTCGAGTGTGCACATCCGAAAATACAAGGTTATAACTCAAGACTTTCTCCAGTATGTGATATATGAATTCCTAACATACTCAACGTGAACCTGTTAGCAATACTTGCTATCTCTAGCTAAAATACTTTCTATTAATATCGAAACGAAAAAGCTGCTCGTCCCTCGCCTCCTGCATACGTTGGCAAGCAACTGTTATGCCCCTTCGTTGCCCATTTGCAGGGTATACAAAATAGAGAGAGAAAAAACTGGCACACAAGCTACTTGAGCTAACCGGCAGGCACTCTCCAGCAGCCAGAGATTTGAGTGCCCCCTCACTCCTACAGACCCCTAGCTCTTTATTCCGCGCTCAGCTCGGGCGTGCGGTTGACGGGTTAAGGCGGACAGTTGACCACCACAGCTGGACAGCTGGGCCGCTGGACAGGAGGCGGCAGCTACTCTATGCTCTATGCGCCGTCTTTTCATTGTTCGCCGTTGCCCATTCCCAGCTTAATGGCCATGATTTTGACGGCTGTTTAGTGCGCACTCTGGTCCAGGTTTTTGCTTTCCTCCATGCCAACTTCTCCTGGCTCTTTGCCCTGCTGCTAAGGCAAACGGATACGTGTGGTTCTTGTCATTTTCAGGGGCTATTCGAATGATTTTGCATAGGTGCTTGCTGCTTTGAAACTCCACGAAAGACAGCGTCTTTTAATAAGCCAGTAATGGTAATGAAAGCTGGCGTATAGTTTCAGGGTTCCGTTATATGGAGGCTAACATTCACGGACAGGTCGAGGGGAGCTAGCGAGAGAGAGAGAGAGAGAGAGAGAGAGAGAGAGAGAGAGAGAGAGAGAGAGAGAGAGAGACAGACAGAGAGTAAGTGGACCTTGTAATTGGCATACCTATTGCGTGATATTAGATACGGAGTTTTGTGAATGCAACATGCTTTCATATAATGTTTAACTATCTAGGCTTAAGACGGGGCTATAGAAAAAATCGAATCCAAGCGAGGGAAACCGATGGTTAAAATTTGTATGAATAGTATCATTGAACCAGCAATCGAGAGGTCGCTGGTTCAAATTCAAAAGTTGTCTTATATATGTATTTTTTATTATTCACTACGAATTTATTTGTGAAACCTATTGCCTTTTAAAAAAA